CCTAGGTTGTGCAGATGCGCTGGGTGCCAGCCACAGACCTAGGTTGTGCAGATGCGCTGGGTGCCAGCCACAGACCTAGGTTGTGCAGATGCGCTGGTGGGCTGTGCAGGTTGTACTCGCCCTCTCCGCCGCGCCGTTGTTAGCAGCAGCAGCCCAGGCTACTATGGGAGCCGGAGGAGGGGCCCCTGGCCCAGACATGATGTGGGGAAGCCAAGGGGCTTCGCAGAAGAGGTAACGTCTTAGCTCAGACTTGAAGAGACTGTAAGAGCAAGTCAAGCTAAGAAGCAGTTGAGGCTGTTGCAGACGAGGGAACACAGGCTTTAAGGCCTGGGAGCAAGAGAAGCAGGGCATGGGACAGGGGCTGGCACTACTGTCAGGGGCTCAGTTCCCACTGTGCACAGGACTCCAGACTGGCCGGAGGCTACGAGAACGTGCCCACTGTGGACATCCACATGAAGCAGGTGGGCTATGAGGACCAGTGGCTGCAGCTGCTGAGGACATACGTGGGGCCCATGACCGAGAAGCTATTCCCAGGCTACCACACCAAGGTGGGCTGCCGCTCCTGCTACCCTTGCCCCTTCAAACTTCCCACACCCCGGTGCAAACTGGGAGTTTCCACGCAGCACTCGTGTGTCCCCTATAGCATTTGGGGTCCCATGGAAAGAAATACCACAGGAGAGCCGCCCCAGAGGGAGCCTGCCCAGCCCCTACAGCCACTCCCACTCCCTGGACAGGGGCTGTCACCTCCTTAGAAGGGTCCCTCAACCTGAGGGTCATCCCTCCACCCTCATTTCTTGTGTCCCCCCAGACCCGGGCAGTGATGAACTTTGTGGTCCGCTACCGGCCAGATGAACAGCCCTCTCTACGGCCGCATCATGATTCATCCACCTTTACTCTCAATGTTGCCCTTAACCACAAGGGCCTGGATTATGAGGTGCGCCCCTAGTGTCTTCCTGTTTCAGTGTACCACCAGGGTCCCTACACACACTCTCTCTCTCTCTCTCTCATCCACTGGGACCCTGTGTCTGCCTCTTACTGGGACCCTGTGTCTGCCCCACACGCAGCCCTCAGTCACCCTCCCTGCCCTCAGCCTGCACCCTGCGCATTCCCCGGTTTCTTCACTGGTACCCTCTCTCGGATCGCTTCTAGGCTGGCGTCCTCCTCCTTCCTCCTGTGTCTCCCCAAACCCCCTGCCTCCCCCCTCCTTTATCTTTTTGATCTGCCTCATGTGTCCTTGTATCTGTCTGTTGCCAACCCCATATCTTCTCACTGTCCCCTTCTGTCCCCTTCCCAGGGAGGTGGCTGCCGCTTCCTGCGCTATGACTGTGTGATCTCAGCCCCTCGGAAGGGCTGGGGGCTCCTGCACCCTGGCCGTCTCACCCACTACCACGAGGGGCTGCCCACCACGAGGGGCACTCGCTACATCATGGTGTCCTTTGTCGACCCCTGACGTTCAGCCACTCTACCAAACCTCTCCTGCCATCGTGCCTTCTTGTGCCCTACTCCCCGAGGGCACCCGTCTGGCTCCTTGCTCACTGAGTGTGCGTCCGGTGTGTCTGGGACTGAATGTCTCACCCCCGTGTCTCCCACACCACACAGCTGTCTCAGGAAGCTCCTGGAGCCCACTTGAGCCTCCCCTCAGCCCCTGAGGGTTCGTGGAGAAAGAGTTTCTGGGGGAGGTTCCCCATGTGATAATTTATTGTTTCTTAGCCTCACTCCCAATAAAGGAGGATTTGTAATTCTTGAATCCATTTATTGTCTTTCACCTACCTGTTGACCTTGAACCCCTCCTGCCATCTGGAGTAGAAAGAGACTGGAGTTACTCCAGAGAAAAAGAACCTATTGACCAAGCTGGGGAATTACCTCAGAAGGGCCAAACCAAAAAGACCTCACTGTCAGTTTCAGTGGAAGGTCACCCCCGCCCAGCCCCCACACACTTCTCCCTGATTCTCTCATCACTTGATGGCATTTCTCCTTGACATTAAGGGTGGAGTAGCATGTCCACGAGCTGGGCTTCAGGGAAGGTGCTCAGAGAAGGAAGGCTCCTTGGAGGCACGTGTCCTAGGAGGGAAGGCAGGCTGGGGCCTTAACTGCCTCTGGGGAGACCTGAGCTTTTTGTCGTGGGGTGTCAGGAAAGGGAAAGCCCTCGTGGGTCATTCCAAGGAAAACTTCCTGGAAGAGGAATATGAAGTAGCCCTGGAAAAGAGACCTCACAACTTGCGAAGTAACAAAAGCATTTACACTTTTATTTATTATTTTTCAAAGATTTTATTTATTCTTGGAGAGAGGGGAAGGGAGGGAAAAAGGGAGAGAAACATCGATGTGAGAGAGAAACACCGATCCGCTGCCTCTCACAGGTGCCCCAAACTGGGATGACCTGGGAGCCAACCCGCGTTGCGGGCATGCACCCTGACCTGGAATTGAACGGGTGCCTTTTTGCTTTGCTGAACAGTGCCCAACCAATTGAGCCACACTGGCCAGAGTCCAAAGTGTTTACACTTTTACTTTCTTTTTTTTAAGTTTATTTATTTTAGGGAGAGGGGAAGGGAGGGAGAAAGAGGAGAGTGTGGCTGCCCCTCACGCGCCCCCCACTGGGGACCCAGCCAGCAACCCAGACATGTGCCCTGACCGGGAATTGAACCTGTGACCCCTTGATTCACAGGCTGGCGCTCAATCCACTGAGCCACATCAGCCAGGGTCGAAAGTGTTTATATTATTAAATGGTTGAAAGAAACAAAATCATATTTTGTGACAGGTGGAAATGATATGACATTCAAATTTCAATGTCCCAAATGAAATGTTGGAACCACACCTCACCACCCACAGATGAGACCTGAGAGCAAGTCTTGCCTCCAGCCTCTAGGGGGCTGTCAAGCTCTTGCCAAGACCCCTCCACCCGGGAACCCTGAGAACAGCAGGCTGTGCCTGCCCCTTCAGCTTGGTCTTTCCCAGCCTTGTACCAACCAGCCTACCTTACTGAATTTATCTCCCAACTGTTCCCTTGCAGAAAAAGCCTTTTAAAAACCAAGAAGTCCTGTTCACCTGATCCTGGACATTTCCTACCTCCTGCCTGGACCCCCCAGGAAAAGTTCCCTAAGAAGCCTTCCTTCCTGGGGGCATGTGGGGTCAGTCACCAGAGTGCATGGGTCACCTTACCATGTGGACTGAGCACTTCTCTGGCCAGACTTTTAAGTTCATCTCACCCTGGCCCCACCCCCAACCCTGCCTTCATCTCATGCCCTGTAGATGGAAGTGGGCTAAGTAGGGGCAGAAGAAAACACCTCCTGGTGAGGTCCTGGATGAGGAAGGCTGCACGAGAATGGGACAGAAAGTGTGGCTCCGCCTGAGCAGTGGGTCCTGGGCATTGGGAGCTGGCTCATCCTGTCCCCTCCAGGGGGTGCGTTTCCCCACAGAGCCTCTCCCAGCACCAGGCACCCAGCACAAGGACTGCAGTGATGAGCACATTACTCACCTCTTGTTGCTTACAGTTTAGGGGAGACCTTCATCAGGAAATCACTGTGATGGAGGGAAAATATGCTACACTAGGAGAGCAGCAACAGAGACCCCTGATGGTGTGTGCATCAGACTCTCCTGACACGGCGCACTCCCTCTGCCAGCGCATCCTGTCCCTAACAAGGCCTGACCTCAGGAGACACTATGTTACTGCAGCCTAACACATTGGAGTTTTATCAGAGCTTGACAAACCTAGAGAAAGGGCAGTGTCCAACTCGGCCCCCTCTACCTACCCTGAGCAGCCTGCAGGGAGCACACAGCCCAGGGCACAGGCTCACTCAACCACCAAGACCTTAGTCTTAGGCCTGTAGAATGCGTCCCCTTCCTCACGCCTTCCCACCACATCACTAAAGGCCTATTTTACCTAGTACATTATGTCTGGCTTTCAACAACAACAAAAAAATGTTTTTCAAATACAGGACTGGCCCTGGCTGGTGTGGCTCAGTGGATTGAGTGCTGGCCTGCAAAGCAACGGGTCACTGGTTTGATTCCCAGTCAGGGCACACGCCTTGGGTGTGGGCTTGGTCCCCAGTAGGGGGCGTGCAAGAGGCAACCAGTAGATGTATCTCCTGCACATTGACGTTTCTCTCCCTCTAAAAGTAAGTAAATAAAATCTTTAACCACAAAGTCAAAAATATATATATAGGACATACTAAAGTTTGAAGAGGCAGCGACATCACAACCAGAGTCAGGTATAGTAGTGATGTTGGCATTTAGTGCACCTGGAATTTGGAGGAAGGAAGGAAGGAAGGAAGGAAGGAAGGAAGGAAGGAAGGAAGGAAGGAAGGAAGGAAGGAAGGAAGGAAGGAGAAAGAAAAGAAAAAAGAGAAGAGAAGAGAAGCGAAGAGAAGCGAAGAGAAAAGAAAAGAAAAGAAAAGAAAAGAAAAGAAAAGAAAAGAAAAGAAAAGAAAAGAAAAGAAAAGAAAAGAAAAGAAAAGAAAAGAAAAGAAAAGAAAAGAAAAGAAAAGAAAAGAGTGACATTCCCTGACCTGGAGAAGGTGCCAGCTCCCACAGACCTCTGGTCATTGCTGCGTAGGGCCATGGTGATAGTGAGGACTGGCTCCGGCCCACTTGGAGGGCGTGCCCGCTGTGAGTGGGCCCTCTGGAGGGGCTCACTGATCCTATGATTTACCCACAAAGTCCTTCCCTCTGGAGGGGCTCTGCACCCAGTCCTAGGCTGACTAAGGGGTTTTCAAGTGGCTCTCACTTGCACTGGGAGCCCTGTTATTCACAGTACACAGCACTCTGGAAACATGCCTCCCCCTCCCCATCCTTTCCCAGTCACTGTCCCAAACCTCCACTAGCTGGCTCTTGCCAGAGAGGGGAAGGTCCTGACAGCCACAAAGTCCAAACACCTTCCTCAAACTCACTCCACCACCCCCACCCTGCTTTTTCCCAGAGCTCTGGTAGTGGGGCTCAGCAGAGCCTAGTGGGCCAGTCAGCAAAGGAGACGTAACTGGGGTGGAACCAGGGCTAGGAGTCAAGGCCAATGGGTTGGGCCAAAAGGAGTGTGTTTAAGAGCCCAAGGTGGCCCCTGTGCAGCTCCCCTCTACAAAATGCCAGCCTCTTGCAGCCACTTCCACAGGTGTCTCCAAGTGTTTGCTGTCCTGCAATGGGTCTCCTCCTTCTTGGCGCTGGGTGAGTCCTTGAACCAAACCTCCTCACACACACCTGGAGCTCTGCTTCCCCATTACAACAAGGAAGGGAGGCGGAGCAGGATCTCCAGGGTCCTTGAAGGAGTGCAAACGAATTAGGTGGGACAGGAGAGGGGTCAAAGAGGAAACCTGGGACTTAAACGCCTGGGTCCTGAAACCCCCTTTCCCATTCTCCAGCCCAGGTGTGCTTGGCCCTGCTGCTCCTTGCACTACTAGGTGGGGCCTGGACCCTAGCGTTCCTCTACCTGGTCTGGCTCTGTGGAGACAGGGACACCCCACAGGCAGGAGGTCATCGATCTGCCTGGGTCCGCAACTGGGCCACCTGGAGACACTTCCGGGACTACTTCCCCATCTCGGTGAGGGTCCCCAGGAACCGGGAGTCATGTTGGGGTCCTGTTGGAGACAGAATAGACACTTCCGACCGTCATTCCCAAAAGTCCAATCTCCTCGTCTGGGTTGGGTGTTCACCCTCTGCCCCCCAGCTGGTTAAAACCGCGGAGTTGGATCCCTCCCACAACTATCTCTTCGGCTTCCATCCTCAAGGCATCCTGGTCATTGGAGCCTTCAGCAACTTCTGCAGAGAGGCCACAAGCTTCTCACGCACCTTCCCCGGCCTCTGCCCGCACCTGCTCATGCTACCCTGTTGGTTTCATCTACCTCTCTTCCGGGACTACATCATGTGTAGTGGTGAGGAGTGGGGAGCCCCAGCTCTGGAGCCCTAATCCCTGCTGTCACCTCTTACCTCCATTCCTCCCGTGGGCGGGGCGGCACTTCTGGTCCCAGCACTATCCGCCCCTCCTCTCCCTCCTCTCCTCTGGAAGACACAGGCATCGGCCGCCCCCCAACCCCACTTCCCCAGCTTCTGCCTTTCCCCAGGTTTGGTGTCCTCCGCCAAAGCTCGCGCCGCTTATCTGCTGTCCCGGCCTGGGGGCGGCCAGGTGGCCGTCCTGGCTGTAGGAGGGCCCCTGGAGTCACTGGAGGCAAAGCCTGGAGCGTTGAGTCTCCGAATCCGGAATCAGAAGGGATTTGTCAAGTTGGCGCTGGAACACGGGTGAGGAAGCGCCGGCGGCCCGAGGGGCACACCCTGGATTACCCTGTGAAGGAGCAGAACAGCGTGCGCCCTGGGCCCAGAGTCAGGTGTGCCTCTACTCGCCCAGGGCCTCTCTGGTGCCTGTCTTCTCTTTTGGGGAGAACGAGCTCTTCCAGCAGTTCCCGAACCCACCCGGCTCCTGGGTGCGGAGGGCTCAGGAAGCGCTGCAGTGGGTGCTAGCGTGGCCCTGCTGCTGTTCCACCTGTTCCACGGCCGCCTGGGCCTCCCCCTGACCTTTCGCACACCAGTCTACACCGTAGGTGAGCCAGGGCCCTCCCACTCCTTGGCCGCTCAGCCCTTGCACGCGTCCCCCTGGATGGCCGCTGGTTGGGGCCCGTAACCCTGGCTGTGTGGGACACGCAGGCCTCGCCCCCGTGGCTGACCTTTGACAACCGCTGGGGCCGTGACCTCTATTCCCGACGGGTTGCTGCAGGCGGGAGGGAAGGGGAGAGGCAGTCCCAGCGACCGCTGTCTCCCCATCCGCTCACAGTAGGGGCCCCAATCCCGGTGCAGCGGAGCCCGCGGCCCAGCCGGGCACAGGTGGACGCGCTGCACGCGCTATACGTGGAGAGACTCACGCGGCTGTTCGTAAGAGCACAAGGGGCGCTACGGGTCCCGGCTGACCGGCACCTCGTCCTCACCTAGGCGCACCGCCGCCTCCCACTTCTTACTGGATGCCTCCGTGACTGGGGAAAGGGGTATTGGAATTAAAGGTGGGAACAGACAATGGGTGTTTGTGTGTTTGTGCACAGCGGGGGAGATTTGCGCGCACGCAGAAGCCCATCCCCATCTCCTACGGGCTCCTTCCCCTCCTGGCTGAAGCTCCGGTTGGCCTTGACACGCCCGGAGTCCTTCGAATAGATCCCCGGCAGGCATCAAGGGCCCGTTGGGCTCCACTCGAGCTCAGACTGCTTCGGGGGCCCTGTCCCCGAGCTCTCCAGCGTGTTCCCAGTCCGTTCCGCACATGGGTTGCCTCACCTCCCTCACACAGCCCCTCCCTCCCACCGGCCCAGCAGCCAGCCCAGGCTCACAGACTCTGGAAGCTCGAAGATCAGTCTCAGAACGGCTTGGAGACATCAGGGTCAAAGATTTCCTCATCCACAACTCCACCTGCCCGCGCGCAGGCCGGGTGGGAGGTCCCAAAGGCTCCGCCCCTGGACCAGAAAGCCCTCCCAGACACCTGCGGGAACTTTCCTCTTTTGTCCTCCGGGTGCTGGAGACCTGCTGGCAGAGGACAGCTACCGGGATAGGAGTCTCCACTTTCCTGCAGCCCTTCTGCACCATGAAAACCCAGCAGAAGCATTGGCTGGAAGTAGCGAGCACCTACCACTACGTGCTAGTTTACCTCTTCCTGGGTGCGAAGAGTGGGAGAGGCATGAGTGCCTGAGGTCTGCAGGGGGAGAAAGGACTAGGAGAAGAAAGGCTAGAGTTCCACTCACCTGGATGCCTGAGGGCCAAGAGAAGGGGAGAAGGTTGATTGGGGATGAGAGGTAGCAGGAGGATAAGATATGTGAGGGTGGAGGAAAGGAACCTGGATGAAATGACGGTTTCAAAAGCTTACTAGTTTTTCTTTCTCCTCTTTCACCCAGGTCTTTTCGCAACCCTTCTTTTATTCTGCCTCCTCTTCACATCTCTCTGGCCATTTTCTGTTCTCTACTTGGCATGGCTCTTCCTAGACCGGAACACACCCAGCCAAGGTGAGTTCTGGAAAGGGGATTGGTGCAGTGAGAAACAGCAGCTTGGTGTCCCTGGGGCTGCTTCCACCCCTGTCTCTCTGCCCCAAGGTGGAAGGCGGTTTGAGTGGGTAAGGAACTGGACAATTTGGAAACATCTAGGAGATTATTATCCTATCAAGGTAAAAGGTTACCCTCCAGAGAGACTCTCTGCTTCCTCCCTTTCCCTCCCCTCTCCCACCTATTCACCACTCCCTGTGCTGGAGCCTGAGCCCCAGCTGCCAAAGCTAAGGCAATGGGAGAGGTGATGGAATGGTGTTCAAGAGTGGGCCCCCTCTGCTCTTGACCCCATTCTAGGACCTTGAACTCTGAAGTCTGTTGGGGTGGGAGGAAACACTTTTCAATGGGTGAGCTGACTTCTATGCTTTCTTCCCCTCATTTTGCCCAACACCCCAAAGCTGGTGAAAACAGTAGAGCTGCCCCCTGACCGGAATTATGTGTTTGGCTCTCACCCACATGGGATCATGTGCATTGGAAGCATCTGTAATTTCGCCACGGAGGGCACCGGTTTCTCCCAGCTGTTTCCTGGGCTTCGGCCCTCAGTAGTTGCGCTGAACTTTCTCTTCCACCTCCCATTCTATCGTGACTACATCACATCCCTTGGTGAGTTGCCAGCTGAGTGGGAGGAGGTGCCCTCCAGCCAGGGTAGCCCCCACCCACTCAGCTCAGGGATCTGGCCTGAGCTGAAGTGGCCTGAACATGGGCCAGGTTCCCAGACAGCATCAGTGAACAGCTTTGGAGCGGTGTCCTTGCTGGAGCAGGTACCACAGGGCACAGAGACATGGGTACGGTGGAGAGGGGAGTTTGGAAGGAATGGGATGTAGTGCTCACCCTTCAGAGTCTAAAGGATAAGGTAAGGGGCTTGGGAGCCAAGGAGGAGGTAGTGACTGCCCCACCGCCTCATACCTGCAGGAATGTGTTCTGCAAACCGCCAGGCCCTGGACTTTATTCTGTCACAGCCCCAGCTTGGGCAGGCCGTGATCATCATGGTTGGGGGTGCCCAGGAGGCCCTGCATGCAATCCCAGGGGAGCATCGCCTTGTTCTCCAGAATCGCAAAGGCTTTGTGCACCTGGCACTGAGGCATGGGTGAGTGGGGTGCTGGTGCCCAGTCCAAGGCTGCTCTCTTTTTTTTTTTTTTTCAGATTTTATTTATTACTTTTATCTTTTTAAAAGTTTTATTTTGTTTTTTAGAGAGAGAGGAAGGGATGGAGAGAGAGGGGGAGAGAAACATCAGCGTGTGAGAGATTGACTCTCGCAGGCTGGTACTCAATCCACTGAGCCTCGCCAGCCAGGGTCAAGTCTGCTTTTAATGGTCAGAACTTCACAGTGTGTCTGGGGTTGCACACTCTCCATCCCTACATATCCAGCTCCCTGTGGGGTGGGTTGTGTGTTCCCAGAGTTCACACTGTGCCCTAAACCAGAAGGCGTTTGTGTCAGTGCTTGAGTGTTTACTCTGTACTAAGCACTACGTCCATTTTCCAGGCTTCCTCTCACTCCCAGAGAGTCAAGGTCATTGTACAAATAGACTCTTCAGATCAGAAGCATGGGGTTCAAATCCTTCTCTGACACTATTTGAAAAGCAAGACCTTAGTCATATATCTTTACCTGCGAAACAGAGTTAACCCCTGCCTTGAGTGATGCAGTTGTAATACCAGATGAAGAAATGTATACAGGAAGGTTCAGCACACAATCATTTCTCAGGAAATGGGAGTCTCCTCTTCCATATCTTTCTCTGTAGCTGTTGTCATTTGCTTTAAAGGCCTTGGAAAGTGGAATCATGAGGTGTGAAGAGGGGTATGCTATTCTCTGGGGTCCCAGGAGCTGCAGGCCTGACCACCACTCTTCTCTGTTGCCCCTCCTTCCCAGGGCCTCCCTGGTGCCTGTGTACTCCTTCGGGGAGAATGATATCTTCAGACATAAGGTTTTTGCCCAAGACTCCTGGCAGCACCTGTGCCAGAGCACCTTCAAGAAGTTCACGGGCTTTTCTCCTTGCATCTTCTGGGGCCGCAGTCTCTTCTCTGCTAACTTTTGTGGCTTTCTGCCCTTCCCTATGCCCATCACCACTGTGGGTGAGTCCTCATTTCCAGGGAAGAAAGCTGCCATCGGCTGTGTGGGCACAGGCCTCTCCTCACCTGTCTTCCCTCTCCCTGCAGTGGGCCGCCCCATCCCGGTGCCCCAGTGCCTTCACCCCACCGATGAGGAAGTTGACCACTACCACAAGCTCTACATGAAGGCTCTGCAGCAACTGTTTGAGGAACACAAGGAAAGCTGTGGTGTCCCTGCTTCTACTCACCTCACCATCGAGTAGCCCTGGCCCTGCTCCTGCCCCACCTCCACGCCTGAGCTCCTTCCTGATCTCAGTGCAATGAGACCCCCCCATCTACTGCCATGTCTGATCCTCCAATAAAAGCTAGTTCTCTCCCACCACTACTTTGTAGGGTCAGCTGCTTTCAGGGCTGACATTCTGGCTCTGGGAGTTAGCATGCCCAGGCATAATCAGCACCCATCCTAACGTGCTACAGAATTGCTGCCTTAGATTGGGTATTGGGACCCTAAATTCTTCTTCCAGTGAGAATTAATTCTGCTGTGTGAACTTTCATAAGTCTCTTCTCTTTGCTGAGCCCCTTCTCCCTCTGTAACTGTAGTCATCTGCTTAGCTAAGAGGCATTTGGACTAAGTTGGGGAGGGCGGCTGCGAGAGGGGTAGACCTTGAAGGATAAGCAGGATTTAGGTAAGTGGAAAAGATAGTGTGGATAGTGGGATACTACGAGAAAAGCTGAGCTTGGTCCAGGGTACCTGATAGTACAGAGAATGGAAGGACCCTAGTGGTAGAAAAGATAGTTAAGTGCATAGCTTGCTTCTGTACCCCCACCTCATCCTTGAAGTTTCCTTGGGGCTGGGAGATCTGATGAAGCAAGGATTTGTTTTACCAGCAGTAAGCCCTACTGCAAGCCCAGCACTAGGTCACCATTTACTCATTTGCTTAATAAGCGTAGGACTACTGTGAAGATTGAAGAATTCAGATTTAGGGGCTTAGAAAAGAGATTGGCAAAATGAGTCAATGAGAGTTTGCTAGCATCCTCATCATTATAGGTATGGCGTCAGTCAAATGAAACAATCAGATCAAATGGCCTGAGGGTCCTTATGTAGTCATAGAAACCACTGACTTTTGTCAGTCCTATTTGTTGACTGGCATTATGTCTGTATTTAAACAAGATTAACTTGTTCAAATGGAATTGGAATGCAACTTCTCCCACTTTCCTAAAATTTACTCAGTGAGAGAATTTTCTCTTGGATAAGAATCCAGACTTTCCCTGGGTAAGAATCTTGGCAGTTCCATGATTTACCTGGGTCATTCTCAAGTGATAAGTTCTATATTCATTTTAACTTAGTACCTAGAAATAACTAGTTCATAATCGACACTTGGATCTTCATCTAGGGGTGGGAACTATCCTCTAGCAAGGGCTGATTGCAAGTGAGCTGACTGCTTGCCCAGAAGTGGCAGTTGGAGAAGGCGGAGTAGAAAGAGGTGGGACTGACCTCTTTCCACCCCCTCACTTGCCAGCTGCTGTTACCAATCCTCATGGGGTTGAAGTGTGCAGCAGAAGAGGCAAAGGGGGGGGCACAGGTTCTTGACTGCATTCTCATAAAAAAATGTGTTCTCTGGACCTCCAGATCTTCAAAGTCTTTTTTCCTTGGTATTCTCATGGATTCTTTGAAGTTTGTTTTTTTGGTTTGGGTTTTTTTTTTTTTTAAGATTTTATTTCTTTTCAGAGAGAGGGGAAGGAAGGAAGGAAGGAAGGAAGGAAGGAAGGAAGGAAGGAAGGAAGAAGGAAGAGGAGGAGAGGAGAAGAGAAAGAAAAAAGAAAAAAAAGAAAGGAGAGAGGGAGAAAGGAAAAGGAAGGAAGGAAGGAAGGAAGGAAGGAAGGAAGGAAGGAAGGAAGAAAGGAAGGAAGGAAGAAAGGAAGAAAGAAAGAAAGAAAGAAAGAAAGAAAGAAAGAAAGAAAGAAAGAAAGAAAGAAAGAAAGAAAGAAAGAAAGAAAGAAAGAAAGAAAGAAAAGAAAAGAAAGAGTATTGCCTTTCACAAGCTCCAACTAGGGACCTGGCCCGCAACCCAGGCCTGTTCCCTCTTCAGAATCGAACCAGAAACTAGGTTTGCAGGATGATGCCCAACCCACTAAGTCACACCAATCAGGGAAGGATTCTTTGAAGATTTCCTTTAATGCCCCTCTGGAAGCTTTTGTACTTTCTCTGTCTTATTGTCCGTCCCTGGTTTTCTGCTCATGCACTCAACATAGGGTTCTCTCCAGTTCTTTACTCTTCTAGTTTGTGGAGTGGGAAGAGGGACAGAAAAAAAAGAGGGCCAGCCTCAGGCATCCTCAGCCCTGATACCTTTGGACTGCAGGCCAGCCTTGATGCAGCCACTTGTTCTTCCTCCTATCCTGGCTGGAAGTCCCAGTCAGCCACTATTCGGTCACTGGATTTCTCCAATGGACACATCCCCCAAACACTGGCACATACCAAACTCTTTGTGTCTTGAAGCTTTTTGTCACACACCTTGCTAAAGTAATCCTTGCGTTTTGAGGGCAGGGCTTCAAGCAATCTCAAAGTCCTCCCCAGCCCTCCTCTCTATCTCCAAACTGATTCTTGTCATGGGTGAGGGGCTCGAGAGTCACTTCTCAATCATTTGTTTAAAAAATGTGGCATGTGGTCTGGTCTTGTCACCTATGGAATGGAAGACCTACTTACTGCATCTCCGTGCCTCATGCCAAACTTCAGTGTTGGCATCATGTGCGTTTTGTTCTGGATTCTTTCCCTGAGGGGCAGAGATCCAAACTGGCCACCAAAGAGCAAGGGTTTGGGGATTAGATCACACTGGGCCTCTCACCAAGAAGACTCCTGCTTTTTTGCTTCCCTATGAGCAGTGGGTGCCCCCTCTAGGCTGGCGGGCTTGGGCTGGGTAGTAGGTGAGGAATGGGATCTTTGTGTGGCACTTAGAGGCAGGGAAGAGGGGAAAGGCCCCTGTCTGAAATCCAAGACCAATGAAATCATGGCGAGGAGAGTGAATTGGCCTGAAGCTGGAGAGGAGCAGGAACAGACAAGAGGCTCCGTTAAGAAATGGGGTTAGCCCAAGGGCCAGAGATCTAATCAAAAGGACAACGTGTTCCCAGTACCTTTGAAGACAGTAGGGCAAGTTTCTCAGGAAATATGCTAGGTCTGCTCTTGGAGAAAGGAAGAATTGGAAAGGAACATTATCCTCTATGTGGAGACATCTGGGTTGGGGAATGGACCACAAAACAAACTAGAAAGGTACAGGAAAATCAAGATCAGGATTCTATCTCTGAGAGAGCAACTTGGCATCCATATGTGAGTACTGGGGATGGACTGTGGCAAGTAGAGTAGGTTGTTACTTCAGAGGGTTGTGGAAAGATTTATGTGAAAGGTACAGAAATGACAGCCCTGGACAATGACTGGTGTGTTCCTCCAGGATCCCTTGGGCAAGATGAGTGCCACTTCCCTGTTCATCATGCCAGCTTGGCATCCCTCCTGTCCTCTGTGACCAGCCACTGCTGGCCCAGACTGGGAAGAAGCCCTAGGTATCAGAAGTTCCTGCCATGACTCATGCCCTTTCCAGAGCCTGCCCAGGTGACCTCTGCTGTCATGCTATGATCTTGGCCTCACTGAGACACAGGTCCTCTGATCCCCATTTTCTTCCTGTCATTTGGCATTCTAGACTTCCTTCATCAAGCACCTTTCTTGGATGGGACTTGGTCTAAGAGGCTGGAGCCTCATATGAAGAAGAGCCGAGAGTTCAGGTGCCAGGTCCATGTCTGTGCAAGGACATGTCTGGTCCGTGTACTCCTACCAGTCTGTGCAGATTCCAGGCCACAATGTCCAGGCAGTGGGTACAGCCTGCTAGACTGAGATACCAGGTGAGACACTCAGAATGGCCTTCAATCAACTATTTCCCAGGAGCTGCTATCATATGGGTTCTAACTAAATTTCACATTGGAACTAAATCCCCCAAACTCAATTGCCAACTTGGCCTTTGTGCTGAGCTTGGCTGAGGGGTCAGGCTCAGACCCTGACCAACCCTGGAGCCCCTGCAGGAATTGAGACTCAAAACAGGATGAGCTCGAGCCCAGGCCCCAGGATCAGGGGGCCGTCCCTTCCAGTTCCTGCCTCCAGGTCCTAGGTCCTGACTAAGATATGTGCCACAGGGCTGCTCTGGTTCTGCGACAATGGACGTTTACTGGGAACAGAAATAGGGCAGAGTTGAAAGGCACATATTTCAAGGGGAGACTTGTCATAAAACCTGGGTCTGAAGACCTAAAGTTGTCCATGTCCATATTAGCACCTGAGGGGGGCAACAGGAAGAAGGGTGCAGGGAGTGTCAGAGCGGGAGGGGAACCTATCTCTGAGTCCCACAGACCTGTCTTTGAATCTCAGCTACTGGCCCTGACCTTAGCCAAGTCATTCAATCTTCAGTTTCCCCCTGGTAACATGGGGCTCCCTGCTTCAGAGTTAAGTTGAGGGTTTGTTTTTTTTTTTAACTTTTTATTGAAATACAACACAGACAAGTACACAAATCATAAGACACAGCTTGAATTGTCACCAAACGAATATACACCTTGGGAAGTGAATAAGATGTACACAGGCTCATGGGACAGCTGTACAAATGTCTTTGTGTTCAGGTTGAGGAAAACTGTCATCCAGCAGCTTCCCACCACTCTCTACCCTTAATTTCTCTGCTGGGTGGGTACCCATCCACCCACAGTGCAGCTGAAAGGGAACATTTGGAAGCCTTTTTGTAGAACAAGGAGAAAGGCCAGCACACAGAGGGCTGGGGTGGGAAGGAGCCCTCACAACTGGTAGAGGAGACGACCCAGCAGGCCAGAGGAAGTTAAAGCAGGTCATTGCAGCTGTTTTAGAAGCTCCAGACCAGACCATGAGAACCCTGCTGGGGTCAGACTTGAGCCCTGTGACATCCCTATTCACCTACCATCTATGCAGATCCTAATGTGCCTTGGGACTTTGGCCATGACCTCTTTGAGGTGAGCTCCTCTCCAGTCCTGCTGGTCATTTCTTCCAAGTTCCACCCCTGTGGGTCCTTTGCTCCAGCTCATCCCTCTGGCTCTGAAAACTGATCCTATCTCATCTGTGTATTCAGTGTGAGCTCTGTATCCTGAACTGCCAGCTGCTACCAGAGGTTATCATTGCTCAGTCACAGGCTGGAGATGCTAGAATCACCTGCACCTTCTTCCTCTCTCCCCACCTTTCAGGATGAGACTTCCTAGCCTCTTCTGTTTTTCTTCTAAGCTATTTTTAGCTTCTCTTACTCCATGCCTCCAGCCTCCATCCTTCCCCTCTCTCATGGACTTTCTCTGGAACCACTCTTCAGAGGTCAGAGCTCTTGCCTCTCATCTTCTATCTAACACCTTCTCGTGCTCTCAAGATGCTCTTCTTAAAACAGTTTTTGTCAT